CAGCAGCAGCAGCAGCAGCAGCAGCAGCAGCAGCAGCAGCAGCAGCAGCGGCGGCACACGCCTTTAATCCCAGTACTCGGGAGGCAGAGGCAGGCAGATCTCTGTGAGTTCGAGGCCAGCCTGGGCTACAGAGTGAGATCCAGGACAGGCACCAAAACTACACAGAGAAACCCTGTCTCGAAAAACCAAAAAATAAAAAAACCAGGAGGAGGCATCGGTGGATGGACGTTAAGGCTCAGCAGTGGTGGGGAGTCACGGTGTGCACGCTGCCCGTGGCAATGGTTCCCTGTCTTAAGTATCCTTAGCGAGGTGCTCTCGTTACCTCCCATTTTCCTTTCTTCCCCTCCAGCCCTCGGCAGGGACAGTGGAGTCGGCTCTCCTCACACCACCTGGCCTCTTTCTTAGGTGCCCGCGCCTGTCTCTGGCTTTTGACCCTTTCCTTCTCTCTCTGTCACAGCTCAGGTGTGAGCTCTTCATCTCACAGAGCAGCAAGATCTGGAGATTTTGTCGCTGATATGGGCTGTGTGGCTGCTGAGTGTGGGGGGCAGGCAGAGCTTCTCATTGGAAATTGTCTTCTGAAAAGACACGTCTCTTTTTAAACAACCTATTACAGTGTGCACGTGCGTAGTAGGGTGGAGGGTCACGTGTGCCATGACACGCATGTGGAGGTCAGAGGAGAACTTAATGGAGTCAGCTGTCTTCCTACCTTTACGTGAGTCTGGAGGTGGGACTCAGGTCACCAGGTGCCTGTCCCGGCTGAGCCATCTCACTGACCCCAGCTCTGGTGACCCACAGCATCTCACTGACGGCTCAGCCTGAGAATGTTCTGCAGTACAGGCCACACAGGCTCACTGTGTTCACATTTGAGTCCTTAGCAGAGAGTCAATTTCATGTTGGTATGAAGATGTAATTCACAGGAGTGGAAGAAATCAGACAAGATAAATAGACCACAGCAATGCTGTGGAGACACTGGTCTTTGTTTAAAATTAAAAAAAAAAAAATTTTCTTTTCTTTTTTGAGACAGGGTCTGCTTGTGTAGCCCTGGCTGGTCTAGAAGTCAATATGTAGCCCTGGCTGGCCTTGAACTCACCTGCCTTTGGCTCCTAAGCTCTAGGACTAAAGGCGTGCGTCACCACGACCAACCGTCTGGAGATCTGGATAGTCCTGAGCTTGTCAGTGGTTTCCTCTTGTGAGCATGGTTCCTAAAGGGTGGAACCCCATGCCAGTCTTTACAAGCTCTTCGTCCACACACAGGTTCATCAATGCCCGGAGACGAATTCTCCAGCCAATGTTGGATTCCAGCTGTTCAGAGACTCCGAAGACAAAGAAAAAGCCTGCTCAGAACAGGCCAGTTCAGAGGTTTTGGCCAGATTCCCTTGCCTCAGGAGTGACACAAGCCACACCCAGTGAGCTCGCCATGTCAGAAGGTGCGTCCCTTCGGATGGGCAACGGTGGGGACAGTGAGCCAGGTCAGCTGCTGGGGCTGGGAGCTGTGTGCCTGACATGCCCTTCCTCTGCATGTAAGACTCAAGGCTGGCAAGATGGCTTATTGGCTAAAGGCACTTGCCACCAAGCTTAATGCCACCAAGTTTGATTCCCACGAGAGAACCACCTCACCACCTCCTGCAAGTTGTCCTCTGACCTTCACACCATGCCCACATTACATTACACTCCCACACGTACTAAACAAATGTTTGAAAAGAAATAAAACAGGAGGAGGCTGGGCGGTGGCGGCGCACGCCTTTAGTCCCAGCACTCAGGAGGCAGAGGCAGGCAGATCTCTGTGAGTTCGAGGCCAGCCTGGGCTACAGAGTGAGATCCAGGACAGGCACCAAAACTACACAGAGAAACCCT